CGCTGGTGGAGATCATGGTTCATAGCCTCGAGGGAATGGATTACAACCACTTCCGACTACAACAACCCGGTGACAGGACCAACAACCGACACACCGGATCGTATGGACACCAGTGATGCGATTTGCTCGTCACCGACCAAGAGAAAGAGATCGCGTACGCCGTAGAGGTGCCACTAATTGGCATTCCATGCTGATGCACGCCTTGCCGACGGTGTCGGCCTACATCTCGCAGCGTTTTCGTTGATCGACGCATGCCTCAGCAACAACCAACTTGCAACAATTCGGGACATTTTGCTGTTGTCTAACAGTCCGACGTGTGCTTGTTCTGCAATACTGCGTCTTGAAAGCTTTGAGCAGTGCATTTATAGCCTATATGCCAGTGTTGCTGATCGAACAGTGCAGCTTGTATTCGCCGCAGCCGTTTCCACACATCATACACTGTCAGGATCAGCCAGCAGGGACATACAGTGAAGATGAAGTCAGCTCATGGCAATCGGATGAGCTGGACGCCTTCCCGAAGAAGGAAGACAACATGCCGGGCTCTTCTAAGGACCTCCTGTGCAACAGAGTCAATTCGTCTGACGAGAAGATCACGAAGAAAGAAAAACCGAGGAAAAAGGACAAGAACGCAAAAAAGAAAAAGAAAAAACAGATGGAAGCAGCATCTCGTTCAAGACACAAGTCAAGCAAGAAGTTCAAGAAGGTGAAAAATCAACCGGCTCCAGTTCAGCCTGTGCGCGGCACGGTCGGAGCGTCCATCTTCTGAGTCCTTTGCTGACTACGACATTGTTCATCCCACAACTCGCATTGCACCACCAAACAAACGTGCCTGCGCAGAGATGCTGGTGCGAGCAGGTTTCAAATGTTGGTGCCATTTCGTTCATGTCTCACGTGGTCCGTCTCAGAAATAGGGCCGCCAAACCCCACTATGGCGACACAGTGGAAAGCAGTTGTCGCTCCAACGTGGGGCTGTGTGTGTGTGTGAGAACCTCCCTAGTACATCGGAGCAGGGGGTCACTCCTGATTTTACGTTTTCTTCACCACGTCATGAACTTGCTTGCATGCAAAACAATTTCGTCAACATTATTGCAAAACATGCATGTGCAGGGGGACACAGCATGTCACTGGGACTGTGTCCAACGAAGATACCAGTGACATGGGAAGAGAGTACTGATCATCCTCTTGTAGCTGCAAAAAGCGGGGGCCCCTGAGCCAGCAAGATAGCAGGCCCCTGTGCCAAGATTAGAGTTTGTCACGTTGCCACAGTTGTCGGTTGAACACTTGCCACTTGCCCTTTGCCGAATCGATCAGTGTGCACCATCGTGAAACCCACATGCGCCGAATCACCTCTGCTTTGCGTCTATTTACGGCTAGAACAACAGGTGGAAGGGAAGGTGGACGGGGGCACATTGGAGCTCAAAGAAGATACGACATGAACAGCAAGCCAAGCATCAGATCAGTCATTGCAGGAAATCTCACCCCCGTGCAGATTCGGGACAGTAGTTTCAGAAAGGGCGCGGGCTTTTCCTGCTCAGGCCATCTTTCGAGGCAGAGACCACTTTTTATGTGGTGGATTGTCCGGAGCAGGACAGATGGGAATACTTCGCATCTACGAATCCCTTCCTCCGAAACTTCAGGTGAAGCAAGTCACCCTGAATGCAGAGAGCGTCTTCGAACTTTTTGCGAACGGTTGCCGGCCCAGTGCACATGCAAAACTTGCCATGAAGCCCACGAGTGCGTCTCGCGCCAGCTCAGCGACGGAACCATGCAGCGCATGTTCTCTAGGACGAAACATGGCCTCGCTTCGGCAATGGTCGTGACTTCCAATCATGTCGCGAAGTGCAAACAACGCTTTGGCAAGCTTGTTGGAGATGTTGCCTGGCCGCGTTTTCGCGTCCAACATGGGTCGCCTGAGTGCGTTTGGTTCAGATTAACTGATACACGTGCATGGCTCAGTGGCTGTGGAATCATGCATGTACTGTAGACAGAAGTCGGAGCTCTCATACGACAGTCAACTAAGGCGAGGCCTTAAAGCAACCTCGGCCGCAGCGGCTTGTTTGGAGGAAGAGCTCTTTCGGCTCTTTGAGCTTCTGCCAGGATTGTTCAACAGCTCGGGGTTGGCACTGCCAAAGTGCTGGCGCAGTCCCCGATTCCCCGACTCGTGGGGCGAGTTTTTGGCTTCCTCTCATGTTTCGGTGCGAGGTGTTGCGGGCGTGCGTGGCCGGAACGAGTGGGTGCCGCCACTACACCCTGGACTTACACCGAGCGGGCTCTAGTGAGGCCCTGCTGTCTGAGCTGCTCGTCACTAGTGGAGGCTGGGCCAGAAAGCAGCGAGCTCAGGGCAGCTTCCAGATGCGACAGTTAGGTACGGACGTGGCCCTTTCCCCACCTTTCCATCCTTCTGCAACTTGACTGCAGGGCTATAAAGCTCCATAAGGGCATAAGGGGTGCCAAGCTGTCTGCTCAGGTGAAGCTTTACCGCACGGATGTGCCCTTCGCAAGCACGACAACGAGCGCCCGATGCCGAGGGGAGTCGAGAGCCGCGCGAGCAGAGCGGAGAGAGCCGAGCCGAGGTCCTCGCTTCCGCGGCCAAAGGCGGCTTCGTGTCCTTCCTCTCCTTCGAAGCCGCAGACCGGCACAGCCAGCAAGATGCCTCAATAGAGAGAGAGGGAGAGATGCTCTCCTCCGCTTCTCTGCGCTTTGTGAGGTCCATGGAAGTGGCGGTGCCGAGCGAAGCGACGTCCCGTGGATCCGAGCAGCGCCCGTGCGGTGCTGAGAGCCTCGGAGCGGCGCGGAGCGGCGCGGAGCGGCGGGCTCCAGGCTGCAGGATGCGAGCGCTTCAAATGCGGCGCGCCACGGGAGCCACAGCGGTGCGTCGTGCAAGCTCCAAATCTCACAAAGAGCAGTGTGCACTGATGACTAAAAGCAGCGGTAACTCAAAAACGCAGAATGAATCTCGGCGGATCGTATCACCAGGGATGCGTATCGGAGCATGAAGCTTAGCCATCTCCTTGTCCGGTTTGTAGCTTTTCGGGTTTAGGACTCGCATGCAAAGTCGCGGAGGTCCAGGATCGGGAGTACACGGTCACCAGTATATTGGGCAGCAGCAGGTAGCAACTCTCGCTTTATTTTTGGCTTGCAGCTGAAGCTATGTTACGCAGCCCACGAGAAGAGGCTGGCTAGCAGCCGCTCACGGCCAAGAGGAATCACGGGAAAGGGTAACCAGTCCGAACTAACCTGGAGAGCCTGGATCCTCCGCTGGACGACTGCAGTCTTTGTGACATGCCACGCTGGGTAAGCCCGTGCTTGGGGCTTGGGGGGATGAAGGACACATAGCTGCCGTACTGTGTCCATTACACCCCCGATGCTGAAAATCCCGCACTTCTCGATTCCGAAAGATACTATTACGGACAGCCGAAACACATTTTGCAGACACTTGGAAGCTTGAACGAAGATTCCCCGAAGCTTCAAGGCTGTTTCATCGTCCTGATTTGAACCAGGCGTGTTGCAACGCTTGTGGGTTGGCGAGCCTGGTTCAAAGAAAATCCTTGCAATAGAGCATCAGGTTAAACTACATGGATCTCTTGTGACTGTACGAGAAGAGAACACGCTTGTAAAATTGTCTGAGGCAGCGAGGTACAGAACAGGGAGAAGCAAGTTCTTTGTGTTGAAAGTGTTTGATGCAGGAGGCTGTCGACGTCGAAGTAGGTTGGTGGTCGTGATTATAATTTCCTGTTCGAAGCTTGGTCAGGAGGTCGAAGACATCCATGAAAGTGCGGATGAGTAGAGAGTGGAAGCCGTGGAAGCCGATGAGTGGCTAGCAGCTCACACGCGCCGCAACTCCCTAAGCTGAACAAAGGACATAGTGCGGCTTGGGAATTTCGGGGGGGAGGGTGGGGGGCCGACTCGAGTTGGGCAAAGCTTCAGCTTCTGACCGAGGGAGTCGGAAAAGGCTTGCGCTGCACAGCAGAAAGCAGGTGACTTTTGGAAGTCTCTCAGTGCACCGAGAAACTTGCATGTAGAAGCAGTAGTCTCATGTTGTTGCAACCGTGCACTGTTCAGACGAGAGGTTTAATTCACGCTTTCGTAGACTTCCCGACTCTGGGCTTTGCTTCATTTAGTCAGAGATTCGCTCTCGAAGAGAATGAGGTCGCAGTGGAAGGCGCTCAGGACCCTGAAGGCGCAGTTTGAAGGGGGACGGGACGGGACGGGACAGCTGGGCCGGCTCGCCTCCTCGCCTCTCCGCGCCGTCACCTCTCCTTATGAGAGGTCTTCGTGGTCTCTGCGGACTGGCCCGGAGCTCAAGCGAAGCGAAGCGCACGGCAGGGCCAGGGAACGACCGCTGGTGTTCGTCTCAGGGATGGCAAGATGGAGTACACGCTGCAAGTCGGAGCCTCTCAATCGGATCCAGGGAGTTCGGGCTGTGCAGCTGTCATGCAGTTTGGGCGCGCCCCCAATGCCGACGCAACGCTCGCAGCGATTGCGTCGAACGTGGGCGCGCCTGGGCCCTAGACGAAGAAGGGGCTCAAGGGGTTCGAAGTGCTGTTTGATGATGGCAGCCGTTTGAGCTTTCCAAGAGGCCATATCCTGTGGGCAAGGATCTGTGTGCAACTCAGCCCGGGAGCTATCCCAGACGAGAGGGAGAGACAGAGAGTTTAGTTAGTTTAGTTGGATTTAGTAGTTGGAGGGCAGCCGCAACCCCACTGCGCCCCATCTTTACGGTACTCTCACACGGGCCTCCCTTCCCAGCGCAGAGTTCTCGACGGCCCTTGAGGTGGGAGAAGGTTGTCTCTCTCTTGCCTTGGGGGTGGATGCCTGGGAGAAAACAGAAAGACAAGACGAGACCACCGTTGCGTTCAGTTTCAACATCTGGCACCCAGAGCGCGGATTGCTGCAGTGCTTATGCTGTTATGTAGGCACATGCCTTCATCCGACCGCATCCCTGCGTATCTCGGTTGAGGAGTCAATCGAAGTGCAAAGTACGTCCCAGGCGGCGGTACATGCTGGAAGTGCCGCGAGGGCCTGCAGACTCAGACCGGCTTGTAGTGCTGCAAAATAGCAAGTAAAGAGTTACGCTTGCAGGACACGGGAGGTAGCCCTGAGTGCCACGGCGGTGGACAAGGACAGGGGAAAGTTGGCACAAGTCGCCGTTACACAGCGCGCGAGCGCTCGAAGCCTGAACTACTCGGCCTTGACGCCACCAAGAAGTCTCAGCCTCTCAACCGCGGTCGCATCGAGCAACGGATCACAAATGCATCAGGAAGAGCGCGAACTGCCTTGATTGGTAGACGTGCATGTCTGGGTCATGTCAATCCCACGCCACTCTTTCCTTCAAAACAAGAAAAGGAGGGACCACTCAAGCATTGCAGGGAGTACGAAGCTTCTTCCGATGTTATAACAAGGTCTGGGCATGAAGGCGACCTTCTGACGTCGGCTGGCGTTCCACTTCCCGCGACGTTTTCAGGAGGGAGCACAAGTCACATTGGACGGCCAGCACGGCCGCGGCTATGCTTCTGCTGCTGCCTGGCTGAACTGTGCAGTTGTGAACAGCCAGTCATTCTGGTGCTCGAGGTTCTGAAGTTGAACCCTTCTGCACCTTACAAGAGATTGAAGATAAGGGTAGAGGCCGCAGATGAGGCACGGGAACGACGGGAAGGACTGCAGAAGCTAGCGGGGTGGTCGGTGCAGGTGACGGCTTTGGACTATGTTCTGGTTGTGGCCATGACAGAGCACAGCAAATGGGCCATGCTGGAAGACCTGGCCCCTCCCCGAGCACAGCTACAGGCTTTGGAGGTTCAATGTGATCTTTCATCTTTCAGCCAAATCAGGTGGTCTCTGGCTGCGAGGGGGGGCTGCTGCCAAAGTTCGAAATCGACGCGGGTGGCCCTAAAAGAATGGGGTCTCTGTGTCACTGATGTGTAGTTGGCTCCTGTCTCCCAGGTCTTTCGCTATCGCTGCCTTCTCAACAACGAAGCGCAAGTCCTCAAGGCGAGAGTGAGAAGCTGTGACCGAACCGCGCCCGTCGCACCCGACAGCTTTAAAGCCGTTTTTGCTGCTGCAATATGTACACGACGTACAGTCCACTGTCTCGAGAAATCGAGCAATTTCTAATGGACTCTCTGAGTTGCTGCTGGTCCTGCCAACATCGCATTGTTGCTCACTTCCCATGCTGCAATGGTCTCAATGATCTCATCGGCTTTTCCTCCAACTTTCAAAAATTTGAACAGTGACAACTTTCCCACATATTCCCACTGTTCAGTCGAACCTTCGTTCTGGCTCTGCGGACAGGGGAACCGGTGTCTCAGAAATCTGACCCGTTATATGGTTGTGCAGAGGTGCCGCCCCGTGCCCCTTAGTTTTTGTTTGCGCTGGGGTTGCATACTGTTGTACATCCTTCGTCCCCCTACGCAAGTCAGTATTCAAGTGGGCCAGTTGCATTCAATCGAACGAAGGTGGAGGGTTGAGTTTCAACTCTTCTCTTATGCTATGTCGAGAAGCCAGTGTGTTCAATCCTGTGGTTTTGCATTGGAGGCCCCGGCCTTCGGCCAGAGCTCCGCTACCATACGCAATCTCAATATCAGTGCATCAGCAATCTATATGTCCACCCAGACAATATCACTGCACTGCTCAGCACACAATCAGATCCTATGCAATTCGGACGCTCTCGGACTCAATGTTTTTCGCAGGCTACAGCCAATGTCGCAATGTACAATCCCTGATGAATCTAACGCAGAAAGGGGGCACAGCGTCCTTGCCTCTTTAAGCTTAAAGAAGCGGGGCACCACCCCCTTCAAGAAGTCGTACTCCATTGCCGGCTCGCCCAGCTGTGAAAAAGAGCTCTGGCGACTTCGCCAAGAAGGGGATGTGCAAGTCCAAAAACGAGGTAAAGCCTAGGAGTGCCCACGGCTGGCGCCCGGCGAAGGTCCACTGCCAGGCAGCGCGCGAGGTTCCGCAAGGGCTCAAAAAAAGGTAGCCGCATGAAATCATTGCGCATTGGGTCAAACAAGACGAGAGCCCGTTTTTTTCTGCCTCCATCCTGGGGTTTGGGGCACCAGGGGCAGGGTTTAGCGTTTCATGTGCGGAAGAAGCTGCGCTACCAAGCGGCCCAAGTCAACCGGCTCCACATGCTTGGCTCCGTCATTGCAGCTGTGGATCGAGTTTGTGCCGGATCCTGCTGAGGAGGCCATTGGTCAGGCGGGGGTCCTCCGGTCCCGCCTTAGCGCACCGGGCCGGTGGGCACGCGTCACTGGCCCTGTTGAGGCGATGGTGTCCGAGGCGAGACCACCGTCCACGTGTCCGGACCATCTCTACGAGCTGTTTAAGGCGGAGGAAGCCCTCCGTGCGCAAGTTCAAAACGAGCTACTCTCGCAGCAAACTTCGTGCAAAGACTTGGTGCAGGGGGTCGATTGGACGGTAGCGCACCGTATGCTTAAGCAGCACAAGACCAAGTCCGAGAAGCTCGGTGGCTTTCGGGCGCTCTGGCAGGGCAAGAGGAGCACCTCCCTGCTTCACTCAATGAGGCGACCACGTTCCGTCATGTCCTCCAGACGTGCCATTGAGACTCGAAGAAGCGTTGGCAAAATGGCTGCCGCCACTCACATCATCTTTGATGCCCCGCAGATTGGCGTTGCTGTTGGATTGTGTCAGGGCAGAGGTTGATTGACAATTGGCCAGCAACACCAGTGCTCGACAGCATTGTCGCAACGTGTCGACCTGATGCAAGGCCTACTGATGTTAGCCACCAAAATTTTTTCCTGGGACTGCCATCCATTGAGAACAAGACCGATGTTTACGATGGAATTGTCAGAGCATTGAGGCCACCCGATTGGGTGTATCCCGCCATTGTCTCTGGGGGGGGACATTGGTGGAATTCGCAGAGCACCTGCGCGATTGTCTAGTGGAGTTCCGGTGGTGCACAATGATCAATCTTCAGCTGAGATCGATTGCCGTTCCCAGCGGCCGATTTCATTGACTACCAGTACCAGCAATTGGGGCCGTGGTGCCCTGTAGCGGTGCGCCCAATTGTTGGCGACTTGGATGCTTGAAGTGAGCAAGCAAGTGCAAGAATTGCCCGTTGCTCCTGGCGTTGGGATATTGTCAGCGTCCGACATTGGACCCAAACGCATGGAAACGATGGAGACCCAACGGATGTTCGATCGCGTTGCACGTGCAGATTGCAGAAGTAATTTTGGGATTGCTGGATACATTGCTCCCAGCAATTGACTCGTCCGTGAACTAGCCATTGTGCGACTATTGCCGGATGCATGCCATGATCATTGCTTCTCCCAACAATGAATTGTGGCAGGACCGCAGGATTGGCCACATTCTCCTCACGCCGCAGCTGATTGCCAGCGGGTACATCCCATTGCAGATGTTCGTGGCTTCGCCGTTGTGTGTCTGCGAAGATGGGCTCCAGTGTGAGAGCTACGAGGACATTGTCATGCAAGTGCTCCCACACTTGCGATTGAGACCATTGAACATGTTCCCAACTGCAGCAGTAGCGCTGACTAAACTTAGTCATCGTTCGCTCCAAGGCCATTTCCCCGAGCGTTGGGAGGAGCCTATTGCTTTGATGAGCTTCCCCGTTGTTGCGATCCTGCTATGCTCCATTGCTGAAGGCAGCGGATTGAGCGGTTAGAGCAATTGGCGCAATGAAGACTGGCTTCACTGATGCAGCGTCAGTGAGCCCAGGAGAAATGAATTGGATGTCTCCAATTTGATTGCCGCTCATGAGGCATTGGGTGAAGTAGCTCCGAGCCCATTGCCATTGCTGCCACTGATCTTCGCGGCAGCGTTGAGATCGTCAACATGTGGCGTGCTCGCAAACGGTGCGAACACATGGGCAAAACCTGTTGGAGATTTCACGAGATGGTGTGTTGCCAGGCACATTCCCCTTCCGCGTGGCGTTGCATGTCGCACGAAGGGATGCAGATTGTGGATTAGACCATTGCTGATCTCTCTTTCGATGGCGACGCCATTGCTGGCATTGGCGAGGAAGCCGACAACAGTGTGCAGATTGACGCTGAGAGCGATCTGCATTGGTCTTCCCGACAGGATCCCTTGCCCGTGTGACAAACATTGGGCATCTGCATCGCTGGCGCACCCAGTGATTAATTGGCGTGCGAGAATTGCGAGTGTATTGCTATGTTACACTGGGTTGGATACCTTCTCAGGGTGACGTCATTGTCACTTTTGAAGCGCTGCTTTTCTGGAATGCAATTGTGTAGTCATTCTGCGGATTGCTGATGAATGTCGCATCGTCACATTGTCCTTCAAGCCATGACGATTGATCGCAGTGTTGAAGCAATTGTGCAGCTTAATGTTCGGAGGTCTTCCGACTCTGAGCGGATTGTGGATGATTGCGTGACAAAACCAAGTTTCTAGATTGGTCTCCCATTGGTCTGTATAGCTGTAGATTGCCACATCCCGAAGTGATTGTTACTTTTCTTGTTTGCTGTGCAATGATTCGATGGTCTGCATGATGTGAGATAGTCCTGCATTGTCAAGGGACCGTGTTAGATTGAACCACATTATTGGTGGCCTTCACAGACTCACCATTGGACGATGCCTTGATTGACATTGGCTCAAGTCGCTGTGAAAACATTGAGTCCGAGAGAGTCCGGATGGCAAGGGATTTGATTGTGTGCTGAGCATTGCTTTTACACTGTCAAGTGGGTACCACGTATTGTACAGGTATTGGTAGTTGGGGGTAAGGAAAGTAAACGTGCATAGCATCCACGCGAAATATCGTCCCCGCCATCCCCGGCTACGACCGTTGCCTCGGCCAGAGCTCCGAAGTCTCAGGCTAGTCAGGACCTTTGTGGGGCTTAGCCCCGTGGGTACTGTGGCTAGCCCAACGACTCTGGTCGGGGTCCTGGTTCCCTCGCCGTCGGTACGCCCGAAGCTGCCGGCTAGTGTGCCGTTGCGCCGCCGAAGAAAAACGCTAGTAGACGAGGGCGCGCTAGTGCAGGTGCGCCAGTGCAGGCGCGCGAGGAGCGGCTACAAGGAGCTTGGGTCTTCGGTGATAGTGAAATTCCAGAAAAGTCTGGACCCGGAGAGGGCTATGCTGATGCCTGCAGGCAAGACCACCACCTACGGCGATGCGGCTATGGCTATATGGGAGGCTAAAGGGCAGAGACTCCCAGGAAGGCCGGTCGACTTCGTGGACTACGTGGTGGCTAGGGGGAGGAGCCCTGCGGAAGGACCGTGCCCGAGGCGATCCCGAAGCGATAGAGAAAATCGATGAAAATCGCGGACTTTGACCAGGAGAGTAGGGCCACTGCCGGGAGAATTGCTTGGACTACCAAGGACACCGTCGTGGAGAGGAATCTTGGAAGGCCCCCTTCAGCGATCCTAGCACGCTTCGAGAGGCTAGTTTTGGATGCTACTCACGGTCTGGGTGAGCCTTCTGAGAAGGGCAGAAGGGACGGGGGAGATAGAAAGAAGAGAGAGAATCACGTTCTTGGTCTGCGGTGAAGTGGTAGCGTGTGTGCTTGTGATGTCTTGGTAAAGGGCTTGTGCGCTTGTTCACTTGTGCTGCTTGCGTAAATGGCTACTGCACAGTCATGTTGACCATGTTTGCTAGCCGGCTAGAGTGAGTTGGGCGACTGAGCTGTGACTGCCGCTATGTGCTAGCACCGCCCGGCCTCGGAACCGATGACAGCTGGTCCCGATCGGAGAGAGAGGCCGGCTAGCATGTGGCGGTGGCCGCAGCATCTGGGGCCAGTGAACCAAGGACTGCGGTCAGTCGCATTTCATCTGGATAGCCTTGAGGCTAGCACCCTCCAGCCAACAAGGCACTGCTCAGGACCCACATGAAGCTACCCGACTTCGTCTTCGAGGGGATACCGACGTATGACGACCAGGGCTACTAGCGCGGGCCGCCCCTTCAATCCTATCCCAGGGCCTCCAATGCGGGGGGCAGCGCGGGGGCATATCCCACATGCGGCTATTCGGGTCCACCAGTAACTCGCGGGGGATGGCCCGAAGGTGCCAACCGTGTTCACGTGACGATCTGGCTATCCGGATCGCCCGGGATCGTCTCTGCCTCATCTATCGCTAGCCTGATGTTTGTGACAAGGCCTCTTCGTTCTCTTCTTTGAACTCACGCAGGATCTGCTTCTTCTCCCTGGCCCCGGGTGTCCGATCTTATCCTGACATTATTTCCGGTTGCTCACCTTGACCGTCGGTGGCGTCGTGGAATATCCGCTTCTTGTCCTTCTCCTCGTCCTCGACTAGGACCACCACGGCAGCGATAGCCTGGTTCTCGCCGAACCTCGCTTTGAACTCTCCCAGAATCATTCTCTCCATGAAGCCTTCCTCGACATTTTCCTCGAACTTAGCCCGGACGAAGTCCTTGTGCTGGCCAATCGAGCAGTTATCTGCTGCGAGTGAAATTGCAAATTTCGTGATTTGTGTGCACGATCGTATGACGAAGGCTCCTGTGTGTGGTCTCGTCACCTCTTTCAGCATCCTACTTCCGGTGTTAAGAGCTGACCGAAACCCCAAACCCCCAAAGCCGTTCTCGAGCGTGTAACGCCGTTTTCGACTGGCAAATATGCCCGAACCCTTCAATTTGACCCGTCAACCCTAACCCTTAAACCATTAAACACCTGAACCCTTAAACGTCCTAAATACCTTTTACAGCCGCAAAATCTTGAAACACGACAGCCTAAACCTCAACCCAGAAAACAAGCCAAGCTGGCGCTGATCAGTCCACGAGGGCAAAAGCCCAGCCCGCCGCCAATAGTAGTAGTGTTCGTAGTGCGACAACTTCGATTTGTTTTAGTACGAACTTTCCTGTAACATAAAACATCCACTTTCCTTCGGCAAAAACAATATGAGGAAGCAACTTGTGAATTCAGAGACAAGGAGTGTATTGCCGATGGCATCTTATATCGCAAACCGTGAATCTGTTTCAACCCCAAATTCTATATGCCTGGAACGAAACATAGACGTCAACATAAGTTTTAATGGTGTCAAAGTAGAAGGCCGAAAACCGGTCCCCCACACAAGAATTCCAGCATAGTTTCGATTGCTTGGCTTTCCTTGGACAGTTCCTGTTACGCCGTTACGCTCCCGGTGCGGTTCCTGTTTCTACCAGCCCTCGTTCCCGTTGCGACCCCCAGACATGGTTTTTGTGACTCCCCAGACGGGTTTTGTTATTCCCCGCAGCCCAATATTGAGTTTGAGTGAAATGTCCGGATTGAATAGGATCCGACTGTGTGATAAGCATTGCAGTGATACAGTCTGGGTGGATATGTTGATTTCTGACTGATTGGTTGATATCGGAATCTGAAAGTCAGTGTTTAGCCGAAGCCGAAGCCTAGCCTAGCGACTCTCTCAGGCGCAGGCTTGAAGTTAACCGGGACACGTCCATGAAAAAAACAGTCTGTCCTTGCTAGTTGTGCTATGTACTCAACAATGGTCTGCCGGCTAGCTCGGTCGCTCATGCTACTGCTATTGTACACGACGGTCGTCCGCAGATGCCGCGGATGGTGGTGGGTGCTGCTTCCACCAAGGGGTGCAGCAGTCGAATCTTCCGGTCTTCAACGTATGCTTCGGCATGTTGTTCCTTGAAGGGCTTTTCGCTTTGTAACCTTGTATTTAGCATGATGTTTGAGTGTGTGTGCTTGTATACCGAAATGCGGAATCAGCACAAGGGCAAATCACAAGTCAGGAGTCAAATAAGTGCGAGTGAAGTTGAGTCCATTAGGCCATGAGGCTTGCCGGCTCTCCGTGTGTGCGTTGTGAGCATACCGTGGGCAGCTGCCTCTAAACCTGGCTGTTTGTCAGTGATTGAGCAGCCTTCGCCCAAGACCACAATTCTCCTCGAGAGGGAAACTGAACCGTGTCATATCGCCCTCGCCTAGCTGGTCCGGAAGGTTGGCATCTGCCGGAGCAAGGAGCAAGTCACAATTCTCAAGCTATGTGGGGCTTTGCGTTTCAAAGATGCTCTAAGTTCTTTGTCACCGGGGCGAGCGGGATTTGTTCATGGAAGCAAAGTTTTGTCGGCACATGCCATACGCCAGTTTGATTTCCGGAAGAGGGCGGAAGGGGGACGGTGAATTAGTCGAGCCACCAAACCAACATTTTCCTGGATCGTGCTTGCATCAACCCATCTTGCTGTGGTGTCCACGCTGAGCTTCGACAGGTTATCCCCACGGTGATGTGGATGCCAGGCTTTGACCAAAAACTGCAGATCTCGATCAAGGATGTTTGCATTGAAAGAGAGTGCAGATGTCATGAGCATGTTCTGGCGAGGACAAGGAATGGACGCACAACGCCCAGCGAGTATGCTGTGTTTGTGATGCACATGCAGTAGCTGAACACATGTTCTTGCATTGCCAGAAGCGGCAACGTGTTCCAGCAGCCGCTCAATGATGAAGGAAAGGCAGAGGTGGACGTGGATGGAGTTGGAAATAGGCACTCTATCGAAGCACGGTACAGGTCGACATTGCCGTTTTGGCTTCGGACCGAAAACACAAGGTGAGCTTCACAACTTCCTGTAGCAGAAACACGCAACAAAAGCTCCGAGGCAATCTATTACGTGTCTGCGCAAGGATCCCCGTTGAAAGAGCTCTGAGCCCAGGAAGGTGAGAGAGATTTTCAAAAACAGCCCTGAGAGACGCTTCGAGGCGCGGCCGGCTCTTCACGACACTGGAACCGCCGCCAAAGGAAGCACCGCCAACACCCCTGCCGGGCGCCTCGTCTCCCAGATCGAGCACCGTCTCGGGAGCGGGAGCACCGAGGCCGAAGTATCGCTTCCGTTCCACCACCTCGCCCTCGGCGCCCTCGCCTGCGCAAACGCCGCCTCCTCCACAGCCGCAGCGCGCACCAAGGCCTGGCGACCCTTTTTGGCCCAGTGAGGCGCTGATCCTCGCCCCCAGCAGGTCGACAACGGAAAGGGCGTCTATCTCCACGTCACGTTGGGAGTCAAAGTCGAGTCATGGAATCTCTGGCTTTCTTGGCCTTTCCGCATCTGCAGAGGTCCTTCAATGGCTCCAGCCGTGCCCATGTCGCTGCAGCAGCCCCGACAGGCCTCGCAGAGCCTTACTCAGAGTGCTTCGCCCTACGCGAGGCCTCTGCCTCGCTGGCCCGATGGGCTCCCACTAAGCGGGATCCACCTCCCCATTCCGGAGCTCCAGCTTTCAGGCTCGGTGCAGTGTGCGCATGTGCTCTGCTCTGTAGCAAACTGCAGCTTTGCTGCATCTGCAAAACTGCAGAGTCTGCAGGGCTTCTGCCTGCCAGCGCAGCCGACAGCGCGAGCGTTGCAGGGGTTGGGCCAGTGGATTGTCGCCTTCGCGATGCCTAGCGGCGACACTTCCTTCCGAAGGTCCTTGCTGCCGGGGGGTCCATGGCGGCTTTGTTCGCATCGCACGAGCTGACGTCGAGTCCTTAGCGTGCCTCAAGGGACATGCCCATACTCACGGGGGTGCTGATGAGGTCTTTCATGTTGTTGCTCAAGGATCACGGGAACTGTGATGCATCGTGCTGCATATCGTAGAGCTGGAGTCCAAGGGCTGTTGCTGCGAGCAGGAGCTCCAGTTTCTGGCGATCTCTCATCAAGCTGCCGGCTGGTCCCCAAATCCAGGGCAAGGCAGATTTTGTGCGCATGGGGCCACGTGGGATTTTAGGCGACTCCTACTACGCCTTGCTGACTCAGCCCTTTCGAGTCTTCCTGTTGGAGGCGAGGAAGAGGAGGCACTAGGAAGCACTAGCTAGGCACTAGCAGTAGCTAGCACTAGCAGGTGCGATGCTTCCAGTGGTGGCCCGTGCTCGCAGATCGATTGGCCCGGCCTCGAAGTCTGCGAGGAGAAGCGAGAGCTCGCACTTGAAGGCCGGAAGGAGATGCATGCGCAGCCAGCACACAGCAGAAGCACGGATGTCTGTGGGGAAGGCGACTGCAGGACTTTGCCCAACGAGAAGGCCGCGCCACCCTGCGTTGCCAAAACACTCCCTACCTCTCCGCAAAGAGGCAGCAGAAGCGACGATGGTTTGGCAGAGACCTCAGCAGACTTCGAAGACTCTGCCGCCCTGCCGCCCTGCCCCCTGTCAGGTCCCCACAGACATTTATAGACTCTTGTAGCTCGGGCACGGATCGGCTTACTACAGCTCAGAGTTCACCCTTGCATGTGGCGCCCTGAGGCTCGCCTCTTTGCGCGATGCCTCAGAGAGAGGCTTAGAGTCTTAGTGGTCCGTGGTGTTGCGATGCGCTGCAGGCCTCCGGCCTTCTTGCTGCTGGCACTCGGTTGCCTGGAGGCCCAAGGGCCTTTAACTCCTTGGTAGTGACTTTGGCCGCAAAGCACGTCTCAGAGGCGAGCTGGGAGGAGCGGCTGCTGAGGAAGTCCCAGCTGCGAGGCTTGGGCCTGTGCGGGGCCCGGCCCGCACGGAGCACGGCGAACCGCGCACGGCGCACGGCGCACGCGCGGCCTCTCCCCACGCTCCCCACGCTCCCCACGCTCCCCATCCCCACGCCGAGGCGTGGGCTTCGGATCAAGGCCTTGCCGCTGGTCCCGGGCCCGGTGCCATCCGGAATACCTCTGCTCAGCTTTTTGCTGAGGCTTTGATTCTCTTGGACGTGGGGCTGCTTGGTCGGGGGCCTTCCTTACAGGCTTCAGTGCTTGGACTCCGAAGTGGAAGGGACTACGCCTGACTACATGACCTGAACCCATTCCCGCCACAACTGCTTGTGTGGACCGTGCTTCCGTAGAACTCGTTTGAATGTCCCACAGACACCGAATCACACGCAACATGAATCATGAGCATCATGAGTCATGAGATCATTGGCAGTCGGGTCCTTAAGGTTTTTGCCAGATCGAACACACCTGGGAGAGACCGGAGTCTCCAGTTGCTGTTCCTCTCTTTTCGAGTGAACCAGGCAGATTCGTCAACCTGGACCATCCTAAATCTAACCTGCAAGCATCTGCAAGCTGTGCCTTCCAGATGTAGCTGTGCCAGTAAATCCTCAATGTCCATTTGCACTCCAAAATCCTCATCCTCCTACATCACATCTGGGTTCTGCCATGATTGATTACACATCGTTCTACATGGTGACATAGGGTCCTGCAAGCATGGTGCATGATGAGTCCTGGTTGTGCTCCTATCTCTGTACTGATACTCCAACACAGGCAATCCTCAACGCGGGTCTGCAATTGACTTGAGCTTGGCTTCAGTTTGGCTAGTGTTGCTCCTGCCCAAACAGCTGCCATGGCTCCCACCGGGCACGACTTCAAGCTCATCTCCCTCAAATTTTCCAAATTGTCAAACTTCTGCTCGCCAGCTACAGCCACATGTCGCGCAGTGGAATTCGATATGCTGACATTTCCAGCCCTGTGCTTTCTGCATCCACCGAATTCCTGGAAAAGATTGGCCGCCACGGCTTGCTCAGGTCTCGCAGAATCCTCCAAAGCGTTTCTTCCCAACACGGCCGTGAAGGTGGAGTGGCGGAAAATGACCCCTAGAGCTCAGACGCGCTGCGAATGCTGCGAGGTGAGCATCTTTGGTCCTGGGCGACTCTTGATCTCTGGTGTACTTTCCGCATCAATGTCCAGTGCCCAAAGGGAGAGGTCCTACAGCCTTTTTCTCGCCTTTGGGTGTGGGGTCTCCCTGAGGCTCCGGTGGCTCTGCTGGGGCGTTGCCTTGGGCTTCTGCGGCTTCGGTGCTGCGCAGCTCCTCCGTCTGCAGCTCTCGGGGCTCCTCTGCTGGAGCCCCAAACTCGGGAAGTTCGCCGATCCGACCACCCTGGCCGCCGGGACCCCAGAAAAGCGGCGACAAGGCGAGACTGCCTTGTCCGATCCTGAGAGGTGACGCTGCGGGACTCGGCGTATCCCCGTGCCTCGGCTGCCGCACGCTGCCGCACGCTGCCGCTCGCCGCTCCGTCCCCTCGCCGTCTGTCGTCTCTTAGGTCCGGCGGCGACTGCCTGGGCAGCGATGGCCGAGGCTTGTGACGGTTTCACAGAGCTGCGGGCAGCAGCCGTGGCCTCGACGTCCTATCTGAGCCCTAAGCCTCAAGCGTCCAAAAGCACCCCCTCGTTCTGCGAAAGAAGGTGCCCGTCTGCGGCCCCGAGCGGGAGGTTCTTCGCTTGACAGGCTCTTTGGCAAAGTATAAAGTCAGAGAGAGAGAGGGACTGCTCGGAGGGTATCGGGAAGTGTTGAGTGGTCTGGCAGCAGCCAAGTATGCTACACGCCCCGGTGTACCTACCTGTTTGGTTTGTTTGTACCACCGGTGTGTGTCCGCAGAACTTCATGTGCACGGGCGCTGGCCTCAGCCACTAAATACGTTTTCCTGTGCTTTTCGCCTCACCCATGTCTCATCTAGTCACTATCTGTTCCCTATCGTCTCACCGACTCACCGTCAAGCAGCATTAGCATGCATCCAGTCATGTGACGTTTCATACTCCTCTGCCTCATCCCCACATGCTGCTCAAGCCACGCAATAGGCAGTATGCACACAATACCCACGAACACTCAAAACTCGTGAATAAGTGTTAGAATAGCAAATCGGTATGGCAGGACAAGAAAGACAGGTAACAATTCACGGCGTAGCAGTTGAGTGTTCGTTCGCTCGTTGATAGTGACTACCGTTTATCTCTTTCAGAAGGAAACAGTACAAGAAAGCGCAACTATGCACCAAGTATTCGCAAGCGACGAAATCATGCAATGCCCTTGCCATAACTTGAAGAGCGCGTAAATACTCGAGTTGTTTACGAGTGAATGAAACATTCAGCAGAGGAAGCAATGGGTTAGCAAACCTATTTCACAGTATCTTAATTAAGATCATGTAGATCTGAAGCATCTACTACTGGAACACGGGTTAAGTTGTATGTGAACATCACATGTTCGACGGGTATTGAATGAATTCTTACAGTTTTCCTTTTTACTTAAATGTTATTTACATATACGTAGAGCTCGGCACTGCGAATCAATTAGGTTTCCGACGAGTATTTAGATGGGTTTCAACTATTGCATTAGTCTGACACAGCCTGAAGACGATGTAGATATTAAGGCCAGACGAAAATTTTTCTTGATTGGATTTCAGTGGAAAGATGCAGCGAGCATGACCCAATCACCAAACGAGTATTACACAGAATAGCAGAATAGAGGCTTAATGCTCAACAAGTAGGCTTGAAGAAGCAACTAAAGAGTATCTACACAGTGGTTCTGTGCGGATGATACGCAACATTCGAATTATGTGTTACTTGAGCACTGCTCAATATCTGTCATGTTTGCTAAGCATTGACTACCTGTGCATCACAATTTACTTGTGCCGGAATGCAGTTGAGCACTAACAACATGTTAATCCATAGCAGAGAACTCAGATTTGTAATATTGAACTATGGCTTAAGGTTTATTTGAACCCGTTTGAAACTTTCCTTTTTCGTTGAAGTAGTAGTTAGGCATAGCCGGAAAATTCCATATTGAACATGAATTAGGTATCAAATCGATATCTGTATTTGTTTTGGACACTTCATCGCAGTTGTCTGGCACGTGTCCCGCAACGTCGTGAGGCAGATTCTTGCAGATTGTTACGTCCAAAGGAAGTCATGCTGATGAACTTGCACAGACATAGTCAGTGATGTTTTGAGCTGCAGAGGAGCGATGAAAGGTCGTAAGCAGTCAAGGTTCGCAAACTTACTATGTATCACTTGTGTATCATGTTACTGGTTGTTGCAATGTTTTGGGTTCCATGTGTGGCACCTTTGTTGGGTTTCCAATGTTTTGGTCTCCGTCTGTGCAGTTTTTATCCGAAGCAGAAAACTTTGGAAACACCAATAAAACTATAAAAACAATGATGTTCCAATCTATTTTGGCCGGGTGGTGTCGTGCCTTCAGATCGTTTCAAAATCATGGCTTGTATGGTGTTTAATGGTTTTTCCAATATTTTTTGAATCCTTGTGTGTCATTTTATTTGTTATTCCAATGTTTTTGGCTCCTTGTGTGTCATCTTATTGGTTTTTCCAATGTTTGGGCTCCGTGTATGGTAAGTCCTACGGCCTACGGTTCGGGGAGCGCAAGTGACAAATCGGACTTCGAGGCTGCGCAACTCACCTACGTCGTTCTGTCTTACATCCTAGGGCCCCTTAGGGCAATCAGCACATCTGGCCAGCGTGGTGAAGGCAAGAAAGGCAGGAAAAGGGCAGGTACTGGGGGGGGTGCACCATACACACCTGTGGTCAGGCGCTCCGCGGCCCCCCCTTGTTAATATAGCTTTCAACCATGCAGTCACATGTATCTATAGCAACGGCCACTCATATAGATTCTCTGTGACCGTACTGGCTCAAATGGTCCTAAACCTACTAGTTCTCTCGTAGAGCGTGTGTGAAAACAAGCGTGCTGCACTTCGTGCGCAAAGGTCAAGTCGATAGGTCCTGTGGACCGATACTGTATCCCATGTCCTCTCCTTGGAGGGGGATTGGGGTCAGTTTTCTGGTAGCGGAGCCCGTGTTGGGCTCGACCCCCTCACCAAAGACCGATAAAGCGGTTGGTTTCGGCCAACCGCAAGCGTGTGTCGAGGCTGCACAACTAATGTTTTCTCACGGCAGTGATGACGAAAGCAGCAATTCCTCCGGAGGCAACTCAGCGGACGATAATCCCTCACAAGGGCCAACGTCTCTCGTCGCTAACCAAGCCTATGGCATGAGCGAAAAGCGAAAAGATGCTCAATTGTTTGGGTATTACACCCAAGATAGCCCCCGCCTGCGACGGGACCACTTCGTGGTTTGAGTATGAGCAGCTCATTGATGACAGGTGCGACATCACGATGTTGGACCAAAAGAAGTGCGGACAGTCTCTCAAGTCAAGGCTCTCTGGCCTAGCTTCTCGCCTGCACGAGGTACATATATGTGCACTTGTTGGAAGACACGAAACCTGGCGATGATTTGCTGGAGTACATTCGTCAATGCTGTCCGGTCGCCTACAAAGCCGTGGGAAAAGTCGTCTCGGCATACGGGGGCTTTCGATCTCACCAGCCAGTGCACTTGCTTACCCGGCATGGGCGAAAGCAAAGCAACTTACGTTGGATCGTGCCGACGATTCGCAACAGAATCTCTGTTTCATCGCGTACTACGATGCTGGAAATGCGCGCTGGATTATGAAGACTCTTCTCATCCCTCACAAAACGAGGGGACTTGTTCTTGGGAAGTGAAAACCCGCGTGAGGAATTGTTGGGCGACGTGTTCGAGCTTTCTCTTGGATTTCTAGCGTTCGCACTTGGTTACCCAGACCTATTTCCGAAATGGGGGAAGCTTCAGGACATCAACACGAGCATCAATGGGCTGGAACGTCGCTTCTTCAGATATTCTGCAAAAGAAAGCATCAAGCTGATCACATCGAAGAGCCCAAGAAAGAGGAAGCCACCAGCGCAGGACACGGCGATTGAGAAGGATGTCCAAGAAATCCTCAAAGCCTTGCCCACAGAACGGTTCCTCGCCGCACCAACCTCAATTGCACTGCAACCCCATGCGCGAGCGGATGCAGAGGGTACCGATGAGAGAGATGACACAAGCTTCGATTCTTCACAGGGCGTGGAGGTGCCTCGGTTGGTGTCCGAGAACGTCGCTATGGACGGTGGGCAGCTAGATGAGGGAATCACCGATACCATGCAAGATGATGACCTGATCAATGTCGTGAAAGCCAAGGCATAGGATGCATTTGGCACACTCATCAATGGACGCATCGAGGTGGACGGTGACTTCGCAGGAAGACTTTGTGTACTGTGTGGGAGTTCACAACACGCCTTCAATGCATGCAATGCGAACCCGCAGCTGAAGCGACAATTCTTTGAAACCTATGGCATCATGAAGAAGGCCATTGAGTCGCACCCGGTTGCGCAACAGATGGAACAAGACCCTGCTGATGTTCGACAAAGTCGCGAGGAACGACCAACTGGATCCACTGACAATATGGATGTGGAGAGTGTTGCATCGTCCACAAGACGACCAAAGGCGAAAGCAAGACCTCGACATGGCACCAATCTGCACATGGAGGAATGCCCGTCATCAGATATGATCGGAATCTTCTTTTATTTGAAGCCGTACATCGCAGAAGGGGCTTGAATTACATCTGCGGCGAACCAGTATGGGAAGTTGGACTCGGCAGTCATGATTTGATCGTCGAATGCATCAAAACAAACACGTCGCACAGAGATGTTGTTATTCCGCAACGTGGAGATCGAAGACTATATCAATTTGTTGAGGAACACCGGAGGACTCTCGGGTACACCAATCGGGCATATGCTTGCATTCCTGATAGCGCAAGCTCTGGCATCCTTCAAATGATGCCCCGGAGTGGATGTTCATTTTGCTACCCCCGATGGGACTTTGTGGGAAGGCCAAGCCTGCTGTCTTCTTCACCCGCAACCAGAAGTATTGGGCCAAACAAGCTGTATTCTACATCCAGATGGACCTGAGGCACACAGCATGTCCGGCCGTTTACACAGTCACTGGGGTGCATTCCCACCATGGGATTCAAGAAATCAAGTGACTCGATATCGGTCAAGCGTGAAAAGACATACCCCTTTGATAGCCTTCTATGTTCCGCTCATCGACATCGTTCGTGAAGGAGGCAAAGTGACAGAGAGCGGAACCATCAGTTTGCAGCAAACCAATTCCCTTTCGGCTCGTGAGAGAAGCCTGGCTTTTTGTACCAAATGCTGAACATCGAGGAGATTTCGAGCAGGTGGACAAGATCTTGGACTACGAGTTGGAGGATGAAATTTGTGTGGAATGCAATACGTCGCCTGTTGCGGACTCCATGAAGACCTACAGAACACTTGAGAGGTTGATGGGGCTGTTGTGTGATATGCAACACGGACCACATGATGCCGCCAAAGAGGAATATGTTGCACGATCAACTGGGACCGCTATGAAGCGCTCTACAAGCAAGCCACGGATTTCCTCATCATGCACACTTTGCCGAGCAGTCAAGCAAGAACGAGCCGTGATCATGAACTTCGTTACAGAATTTGTCCTTGG